AGTCCCTTCACAAGTCCCTCCATAAGTCCTTAACAAGTCCCTTCACAAGTCCAGTTAAAAGTCCCTTCACAAGGCCAGTCATAAGTAACAGGGTGAACAATGACAAAAGAATGTTTTTGTTACAGCTCATTTGAATAGCTTGTGAATTGGCTCAAGACTGAATGACTTGTGATAGACTTGTGATGGACTTACAGGGACTTGCTGGGACTTATGATGGACTTGAATACAACAGTGCCTGTGATTGACAGGTTACATGTGAATTGTTACTGACTCCAGACTTGACTTGTGTCTGACTCGACTGCAACCAAGAATCTGATTCCTGCGTCAACTGTTACTTAAATATATTGACACCATAAAACTGCATTACCCACTGTGATTCCAATGACATTATAAAACAGGTTGCAAGGATACAAGTTTTTCTTGTAGGATGCTGGGATAAGAGCCCCACTCTCTGTTCGGATCTTCTTTGGCCTCTCTTTGCCGATCTCATTCACAAATTTCTTCTTCTTTCGCTCCCTGTCAAACAAAAATACACATCAAGTCATGGGCTGAATGCATTTCAGAACGTGCTTGGTGACCTATGACCTGGCTAGTTACTGAAGCCAAGTGTGGGCAAGTGTCATCCGTAGTCTGGTACAGAGTTGCCACCAAAAATCCCATAAATAAGCAGACCCTGGTCCAAGCACGCCATCTTGTGTCAAGACGCAAGATGCTCCTAATCACCTCTAGGCTTTTGTCAAAGAAGCATATGCCTAATTTAAGCAAGAGAAAGCATATTCTAGCAAGAATTGTAGTTGACCTCGGTCTGACCAAAAAATTCACTCCAACACAGCATAGTTGGACGACCCTCATCCACTGTTTGCTAAAAATATGCACCAATCGCAAGTTGAAGGATCAGTATGGTATCAACGTATAATGCCATCTCCCAAGTCTACAAGCTACATCTAAGCTAAACTGCTTAGACATGCGCTAGCACACTTTATCTATGAGTGGGTGTGGGCAACTATGAAACTGAGGCTGCATGACACGACTGAACTGTCAAAAGTTCCAAGACACCACCTCAATCATCTTTGCTGACACGGACCCAGCTTCGCTAACCCCAGAATTTAGTACGATCAACATTTTGCGCTTGCACAAAAATTTTGAACTAACCAAGTAAGCACAGAATCCTTAGCTGTGAGATTGAGACATGCATATAAAGCCAAATTTCCATGGTAACCTGTGAAATACGCTCATTATAAGCAAATTAGTGGTGATTTTTCACTACGGGTAAGCAGAGCTATGAAACTAGGCCCTAGTACATACTTACCATTTTAGCTGGCTGCGCTGCTTGATCATGCCATGGGGGTCATCTTGGGTCAAGTCCAAAAGAGCATTCTGGGCTTGCTGGTCAAAGGTCAATCCAACACTCAAACTGACACAGAAGAAAATTGGCAACTGGGTCATTTTTTATATGGTTCATGGTTATCAAATAGAAATTTTCCAACACAAGTGATGCTAGGCTTGAAATTCAGAAAAAAGAAAGCTTCAATGTTTCCAGAGAATTCAGGAAATTATTTGGAGGAGCCCTTCTTGAGGATGTGTACTTTCGGACACTTTGAGAAAATCTTGTGGTATGTCATATTTGGTTTTTATGAACATGTAAAAACTTTCTTACCACTTCCAAATCTAACCACTTTTGGATTATCCTTACAATGGGTAATCAGGCATATAAACATTGTAACAGAATCCTCAATTTGATTCATAACACTTACAAAGAAGTTAAAAAGTTCAAAAGAAGCACAAATCCAAACAAGTCCCTAAACAATGAGCCCTGCTCCTTAGATCCTTCCAAATCCATCATCTTTGAAAGACTTTGTGGGATTAAGGAAGGTAGATCATAGACATTATTACTTATATAATGTCTGCAAGAAGTTCGGTTAAAGTGAAGTACAAAACGTGCAACTGCAACAATTTTCTTACCCTTGTTCTGTTTGCCTATCAGATGCATGGTGGGAAATGTAGTAATCTTCGTCGCGATGGCTTGTTTTGACGTCCATCTTTGGTCTCTTGGGATTAGCAATGCTGCTGACATATTTCTCTGATTTCCTCTTGCTTCCCGGTGCAATAATGGCTGAAAAGGCATCCTAAACAGACAGATTTTTATTGACAAAAATTGTAGTTGTGTGGCTGCAGACAGGTATCAGCATAACTACTATTCTACACATTATGGACTTGACATCATGCACAAATATTCATTTGTGATCCAGAAACTGAGTTGAGACAAGAAACTGAACTGAAACAAAATCATGTCCAAAGGAAAATAAGTCGGGAATGGTCAATTTTTCTCACCCACAAAAGGATGTTAACACTTGGCTCAAAGAAACTAGCTGAAAGAGCAGCAGATTCATTCCAAAGGATTTAGGGCCAATATTTCAAAAGGCCCTTAAGCATGGATATTATGGATGTTATTTCTTCAGCCAAAAACTTTTCGGCAAATTCTACAGTAAGTGGAGTGACATACTGGAAGCAATTTTTAAAACATATTATGTTTTATTACATGGTGGTAGTTAGTTAATACCTACACCCTAGTGCTGTTACTTTCTTAGAAGTGGCACTCTGTCATAGAAATTTTTCTTGAAAATTGGACTTTGAGAAGATGAGGTAAAGCTAGCATGTGTTGTCATGGTAACAGACTGACGCCTCTGTAATCTTCCTTTTGAGTAATATGAATAGTATGGAATGAAACCTGATGTTGGTAAATTAAAAGTAATCACACATGACAGGGCCTTCATGTGTGGTTGTTTTTCAATGTCACTGTCTTCACAACAGCAGTCAACGTGATCATTTTCTGTGTACGACAAACTCTGATACCCAGAATGACATCTGCTTGGAAAGGCCCTCGTCCAGTATCACCGCTCTTTCAAAGCTTCCGTGTTCATGAAATTGAAATCAAGTGAAAAGAATGTTTACTTCAATGTCCTTGTCGGTGCTCTGTGCCTCTGTAACCCTGGACGCTGCATCTCCTAATGTGCTATCAATGACCTTTGACCCCTGTAGCTGCCTGTTCTTCTTCACAATGTTGCCATGGAAACGGCGCTTGGATTTCATGACCTGGTGGGCCACACTCTTGGTGGATGTTGCAATTTCGAAGATGGTCTATTGGAAATTGAAAGTTCAAATTTACAAGAGGTCCAACTGAACTTTCTTCTTACTCTTTGGAAAATATGATTATGAAAAGAGAATATTTTAGACTTCAGTTTTCATCCTTCTTCCCTGGTATCCTGTAAAACCAACAAGTATACTGTTGACAGTTCATGAGGATCAGTCAAACAAATGCTTCCAAGAGCTATAAAAAAAAATCAACCACAATTCTGCAAGCCTTTTTAATAGGAACTTTCCCAAATCCTCTAAAATCCTCCACTGTATAGGAACTGAACAGTACATTCTTTTGCCTAATTTTTAAAAGACATTCAACATTGCACGAGCTCTACCTTCCTCAATGCCACAAAATCCTCCTGAATCAGATGGGCTTTGATGGATCAGGGAAAATCTCCACACAAAATGTTTTCACTCACTGTTTTGGGTTTGTAGTTCTTAATGTTATCCACGAGTTGCACTCGAGTATTTTCTTCGTGGTTGTCCTTTATTCCTGTAAATAGAAAAAAAAAAAACTTTGCCTCTACTGATGCAGAAATGTTCAGCAAAAAATGAACTGCAGCTCACCAACAATGAAGTATGATAACAATACTCGACAAATGAGGCACAAGTACCTAACATGCAGGTATCATAACAGAAAGCGTAATTGTGGCAATAGGATAGTACATATCAAATATGCAACATTTCTTAACAACGTTAGGATAAGTACTCACTAAACATGGGAGATTTTAAATCAGGGATGTTTCCTCACACCAATGTATATTCATAAAATAGGGATTTACAATCCCTCATTAAACATTAACATCTCCCTGACACCAAGTACATCTTAGGCAATAGTAAATATGGGAGAGTTTACATCAAATGTGGGATAGTTACTCACCAAGCATGGAAAAGTACTCACCAAGCATGGGAAAGTACTCACCAAGCATGGGAAAGTACTCACCAAGCATGGGAAAGTACTCACCATGCACGGGTAAGTACTCACCATGCATGGGAGAGTACTCATCATGCATGGGAGAGTACTCACCAAGCATAGGAAAGTACTCACCCAATCAAGGATAGCGCTCACCAAATTGCAGGTTGTTCTCAACGAAAAAGGGATACCGCTTGTCAATAGTGACAAACAACAAACCAAATACACATTCTGAAAAGCCACTCTCCTTAGGCAGATACATCAGCCAAAAAGGAAGGTCACTTACCAAATATGGGATGGTAGCCACTCTCAGCGATTGCAAGGGTTCTGGCTCGCTTGAGGCTGGCTACAGAGGGGTGGGGCCTAGTCTTCAGGTACTGCTTGGAGGCATTGCGGCAAGCTCGCTGGAGCCCCTCAAGGTCCACCGACTGCCGGTGGAAATGGGCAACCAGTTCCTCCTCGTCGTCAATGACTGACTGCGGGACACGCCCAATACAGCTGTCGTTACCTTGAACTGAATATGATAATACACAGACTTCATTTATCTTATCCTTGCTCAGCACAGCATTGTAGTTGAGTAGTTTTCACACAAACTACCGGTACCTAGACATGAACTTTTAAGAGCAAAATTGCTTGTTATCATTCATTCAACGTTAGTTGTGAAAGCTGTGAAAGTTGTGAGACAATACTTAAGAAATCTAGAGAACATTAATTGTGAATACTTTGGCATTCCTGAGTAACCTAAAACTGTAAAAATAATGGTGGCTAAGCCCTGCCTTCCTCCATCCTGTAACATTGCCCGAATCGCCGCATGAATTATGAAGGGTCTAGGAGGTTTAAGTGGGTTTCAGAATTTAGTCCATATACCTTCTGTGTCATTGGAAGACACAAGGTTGAGTGATCGGCCCAAGAAGACATGGAGGTCAAGTAAGTATGGCAACTCATCCGGACCGACCAGGGAAAAGGAACGGCCACTTCGACCAGCCCGTGCAACTCGACCTGGGATAATCATTATAAAGTGAAAGAATATGATGGAAATAAGTTCCAAACCTGATATCATCCACAGCTTGAGTCTCAAGGTCAATTCAATTTCACTGCTGCCTGAGCGAATTTCATTAATTTGAGCTGTCATTACCAATGTACAGTGGTTTCTAAAGCTCACTGCTACTTATCGTGATAGATTTTCCATGTATACTTTTTTCTTTTCTTCGATTCCTTTTTCTGGTATTTTTTGTAAAAGAAAGTAGGTGGGGTTGGGGGGAGCTGGGAGGGGTTGGCAAGTCGCATGGATTAGGGGTGAAGGTGTAAAGGTCAAGGGATGTGTGAGATAGAGTACGTCTGCACAAAGTCAGATGGGTGGAGCCAGGTAGGATTGGGCGGGGTCACGAATGTGGAACTGGGCGGGGCTGGGCGTGCCTGAGAATAAAAACAGGTCCTCATAAGGCAGGTGATGGTAACCTTGTGTGGATGGCATTTAACGCACACCCACACTAAACCAGGTACTTACCAACTCTGTGCACGTAAAGCTTGGGTTTGCCAGGAAAATTGTAGTTGATGACGTTGTCTAGCATCGGAATGTCGATGCCTCGGGCGGCCACATCTGTCACAAGCATGACTTTGGTCTTTTTGTGTGTAAACTTAGCCACATTGATCTTGCGCGCCGTTTGGTCCAGGTCGCTGTAGATGTGAGTGCAGTCGATGCCCGCCATGAACAGAATCTGCAAAGAATATATGCAACACAACCCTTCCTCAGACTTTAGTCTTGAATTCTGCTTTGACACCTTCCGAACCTTTTGTATGTCTGCTGAAGGCATCACTGCTAGAGACTAACAGAGTGGCCAAATATAAAAACCATTTCCCTGATGGTACTACGTTCTCATTTGCATTGTAAATGGTTCTTATACAAAGCTTGACCAATACTGCATGCAAACCTCTAGATTACAACTGCAGAAATGATTTGGCTGTCTGATCACTAGATGATCGCTAACCTCTTTTATGTATTCCACGTGATGCTTGGTTGCCATGAAGACGACAGTCATCTCATCCTCCCCAATGACGTTTCGCAGCAGATGAAGCAGAACTGTGATCTTATCAGACAGCCTCAGGTAGAAAAACAGCATCTTGAAAGAAAAAATTTGCAAAAAGAATCACCCAATTGAAGAAGGCAATTTGAAATAACGGCTAGAGACATTTACAAGGGTTTAGCACACTCTAAACATGACAGCAATGTGAGACTGGGGATTTCCCAAGTCTCAGCTTTGTCTACGACTTAAGCTTCAGGGACTTTCAAGTCCTCATGGTTCCTACGTCTGTTCTGCTTTAAACATGTCAAATTCTTTCATAAAAGGTAAAATGTTAAAATTGTTCCATACTTTGGGAAGTCGAGTCTTGCAAAGAAAACTTGCTTGCTAAATGTTGAAGCCAAAGTAGGAAATAAATCTTAATTATATATAACAGGTTTTGCCCTTACCCAACGTTGGGTAAGGGCAAAACCTGTTATATATAATTAACATCTCCCCAACGCAAAAATACATCTTGAAAAAATAAATCTTAGGTGTTTCAAGTGGCCCTAAATGGGAAAACGCACTCTGTTCAAGTTTTGAGGACTTGATGAATACAATTTTCTTGATAATCACCTGGAGCTGATCGGATATTTTGGTCTCCACATCCAAGCGGATGAGCGTGGGGTCGTTCAGGCCCGCCTTGGCAAACTCCACCAGGGTCTTGGGGAGCGTCGCTGAGAACAGGAGTGTCTGTCTGTGCTGGGGGAGGGAGTGGAGGATTTCGCGGAGTTGCTCGGCAAAGCCCATCTCAAAGAGCCTGAACGAGAAATGCCATCAAGAACAATCAACTGGTGCTTCAGGATTAGACATTCATGCTGAAAAGGCAGCACTGAGCTGTACACACATCGAGGAACAGAGGTGGTCTTGGCTATGTCTATAGCCCTGATGAACAGGGGTAACAGTGATGATAGAGAAGCACTTGAAACTAGTTTTAGATTAATAATCTAGTTTCATGGTCAACCAGTTTAACTCATTCATCATGTTAATTTCAACTTAATTTAGGGTCCAACCACTATGAATAGTTTAGAGTTATCAAATGAGCAGCATAGCTACACTGACATAAGCTGATGAAATTATTTTGAAACATTAGTGTCAAAGAGGGCAGTGTTTTCATTTAGTGTTTACCTGCAGTATGTATCATGTGGTGTTCTGAGAGTCAAATGAGACTTTGAACATGTTGTGAATTGCTGTTTGACTTTTGCATTGACAGGCAGCCATAGTTGCCAACCACTTGTAAGCAAAAACTATGACTGACAGAGAGAGAGATCTCCCAACATATCAAGCAAAGTGAAAAATGATACACAAAACCATCTGAGGTTAAAACCAGTATGCTGAGGTTATCACCTGTCTGCCTCATCAAAGACGACATATTCCAGTGACTTCAACTTCATCTCCATCTCGACGAGGACGTGGAGGAGGCGACCGGGTGTGGCAATGATGATGTCGGGGTTCTCGTGTAATGCCGCAAACTGGTCATCGAGCTTGTCACCCCCAAGGATGACTTCTGCCTTCAAGGATGTGAACCGCCCCAGCTAGAGAGAACAAACAAATGTATTGCTCTAGTTGACAGTTTCACAGGTATTTTCACTACTAGCCAGAGGGAACAAGAAGGAAATACCTTGATTACAGTTCACATAACAATTTCCCGTTTGTGCCACTGGTAAAGTTCATAAGCATAGTAGATAGCGTTTCTCTCCTGATCACAAAAGGGTCAGGGGTTCAGATTAGGGGTTCAGATCAGGGGTTCAGGACAGGGGTTCAGATCAAGGGTTCAGGTCACAGGTTCAGACCAAGGGTTCAGATCAGTGATTCAGATCAGGGGCTCAGATCAGGGGTTCAGATCAGGGGTTCAGATCAGGGGTTCAGATC